GTATGTATGTATGTATGTATGTATGTATGATGTATGTATGTATGTATGTATGTATGTATGTATGTATGTATGTATGTATGTATGTATGTATGTATGTATGTATGTATGTATGTATGTATGTATGTATGTATGTATGTATGTATGATGTTTTATTAAGCGAGGGCAAAATTTTCAATGATAAATTCCATGGTGACGCAATAATAATAGTAACAATAACAATAATAATAATAACGACAACAACAACAACAACAATAACAATAATAATAATAATAAACGTCGATAATACAATAGCAATAGAGTATATTACTGTATTTAAATTCATTATAACATGTTTTATGATACATCTTCTACACGTGTGTAAATAAAGATGGCATCTGGTCGAAAACACACACGCACGCACACACACGTACATACATACATACACATGCACACATACTTATACACTATTTGCACATATGAATTGCTAATTTTGATGACTGCGTTAGCACTCTATTTACTCAGTATTTCTCTTTCTCTCTCTCATTCTTTGTTTTTTTACTCTCTCTCTCTCTCTCTCTTTCTCTCTCTCTTTCTTTCATTAATTCTTTCTATCTACAGAAGGTGTTATATGCACACAAAACTAAATAGATAAATAGATATATTTACTTATTGTATCTCATTGTGTTCAAGTTTTACAATTGATGTTGCGTACGGTGTGGTCTCATGTTATTTCGGTGGCTCGCAGAAAAATTCAAACTGCGCTCGTTCTTGTGTTGCAACAACAACAACAACAACCGAGCTGAGCCAATTCAATACAAGTAAGTTAGAGTCTGAGCTGAGCCAACTAAATTGTATAGGTGGAAAACTGAGCTGAGCCAACTAAATATTGGTAAGTTAGGGACTAAGCTGAGCCAATTGAACATAGGTAAGTTAGGAAATAAGGTGAGCCAATTGAACATAGGTAAGTTAAGGACTGACTTGAGCCATCTGAATATGGGTAAGTTAGAGACTGAGCTGAACCAATTGAATTTAGATAAGTTAGAAACTGAGCTGAGCCATTTAAATATAGATAAGTTAAAGACAGAGCTGAGCCAATTGTATATTTGGTAAGTTAGCAACTGAGCTGATTTAATTGATGGTACAGCATCAAACAGTATCTTATTGAACAGGATAGTATCATTAAATGAAATAAGTTACTTTTATCAACAATTTAAAAAAAAATTCAATTTGATTTCATCGCGATATCGATGATGATGATTGTGACCTGACGATTAAAAACGTCAAAGAAAATTTTTAAAATAGGATGGAGAATTTGTTATATTGAGATATTCGTATATAAAGCGAGCAATATTTTAATATAAAAGCGTTTATAAATCTACGCATATTGGCTCAGCTTGGCTTGGCTCGGCTTGGAATTGGATGTTAAGCAAGGTGTGGTCTCAAAATATTTTGAATTCTCCTCGAAAAAATTTGAACAGTAAAGTATCTAGAATCTATGTATACAAATAATTAATAAGATTTTATGTTTATATAAAAAGCAATTTAGCAGATTCAACCAGCCAATCAGAAAGTTTCAAAGGCGTTCGTTCGATGGCGTCAATTTAGTACGGACAGTTAGCGTTGTGGTTAAGACTGTATAATAGTGTAGTACCTACATTAAATAAGTTTTTTACTGATGTGAATGATTGAAATGATAAGAATGTATGGTTGAAACGAGTATAAATAGGAGCTGAGACAACATGAAAATCAGATCAGGCAGACTGCCTCGCTTGAAGCAGTCTGCCTGATCTCATTTATTTTATTTTTATAATTTATTTATTTATTTTATTATATAGAGTTATATAGAGTTATATAGAGTTATATAGAGCTATATAGAGTTTGTATGTTGCCTGTGGTTTGTGTGTTTGTATGTTATATTTTATTTTTATATTTTAGGTGGGTTCTTTAGCGGTTGCTCATACATACATACATACATCATGTTTGTTTGTGTGGTATTATTTTTGTCCTGTTTTACTCTTTTTTCTCTTTCTTCATGAGTCTTGAGTTAAGTTAATTAAACATAGGTAGGTGAGGTAAAAATTAATTTATTATATAGGTAGGCTAGGGCATAAGGTAATTTAGTTACATAGGTAGGTTAGGGACTTCTTTTCTCTTACTCTACTTTGTGGTGTGTTTTTCGTTTTGTGTTTTTTTTTGTTTTACACTATACATTCAACAGGTACGCGGTGGTTCCTGGTTTTAGTGAAATTTTTATTGATTGAATGTGGTAGTATGCATGGTTATATAGAGTTATATAGAGTTATATAGAGTTATATAGAGTTATATAGAGTTATATAGAGTTATATAGAGTTATATAGAGTTATATAGAGTTATATAGAGTTATATAGAGTTATATAGAGTTATATAGAGTTATATAGAGTTATATAGAGTTATATAGAGCATAAATCCTATATAGATGTCTTTCTTTGAGGTTCTTTTCTTTGCCGACCGGTCGGCTTCTTTGAATTTCTCTATTTTCATTTTAATTAATTAAATAAGATTTTTCCATTAATTTAGGTTCATTCAGGTTCGTTCATTCAGGTTGAAGCTTCCAGAGGAGTTCGTTGTAGAAGAAAAGTATGGTTGTGATGTCACGCTACGTTCATTCATTCAGTGGCAAAGAATGCACGCCTGGCTGGGGTTCGTTTTACGGTTTCTTTGCGGTTCCTTTTTTTGCCAGTTGGCTGGCTTTTCCAGCTGGCGGGTTTCACCGCGGCTCGTTTCTCTATTTTCATTTAAATAATTTAAATAAGATTTTTACATTTTATCCATTTCATTCAGGTTGAAGCTTCCAGAGGAGTTCGTCATGGAAGATGTCAGGCTACGTTCGTTCATTCAGTGGCACACACGCCTGGCTGGGATACGTTTTATTCTTTTTCTCTGTAATTTAGCATTAAGTAGGAATGCTCACACGCACACACACGCACACACAATTACATTACGTAGCTATATAGGTAGGTTAGATAAAAATAATTTTAATTGTAGGTAGGATATTAAAGAAGCATCCAACACTAATGTAGTTGAATAGGTAGGTGCGTAAGTTTATCTCTTCTATTTTTTTCTTGCACTCATATTACACGCATCAGCGTATTACACACACATACAAATACATACATAAACACATATATTAGTATTTGAGCGTAATTTTATTTTCATTACACATTCTAATTTATTATTACTAAGGTTGAGAGTAATTTAATTTCATAGGTAGTTAAGGGTAATAATGTAATTCTAGGAACAATCTTGTAATGTAAATTAAAACGCTGTAAGTGTATCGATAGGTAGGTTAATTATAAGTTTTACATTATTATTATTATTATGTTGGAGCCCAAGGCATTACGTAGGTGGTGGGGTGGGTGCCGAAAGGCCAATGAATTGGGCTCTTGAGTTTTGTAATTTTAGGTAAGCTAGGACCATAATGTAATGAATAGGTAGATTAAGGTTACGTTGTAACACATACTCAT